GAAGTAGAACCAAGTCACATCCATCAGTATAACCACGGTAAAATCAAATAGTAATGGTCTCAGTCGGCATTTGCAATCACCACCACTTGAGAGGTCAATTATTTTTTTTTATAAGTCAAGTATCAAGATTAGCAAAATTTTCTCAGTATTACCTTCACAGTCAGACATGACAACAATACCTTTTGAGTGACGGATTCGCATCCCAGCTTCGACTCAAGAAGTATAAGAAAACCATAATCATATTTGTCTTTCAGAACCCATCATTGGGTTAAGATTTGTTCGGAAATGAAATATGTCTCACTTTCTGCAGGATATTTTTCTTGAATCACTTTCCGGTCATTGCTTGACTGATGATCTTAAAATCTCAGATACCAGTTGATTCTCCTATTCCTGTCAGAAGGGGATTTTACTTTGTTGTAAATGGGGTCCTCGGAGATGTGTGCTGGTGCGCTTGAAATAACTAGGATTCCTGTAAACCATACAGTTGTATCTTAGTTGTTCCAACGAACAATCCAACGTTACCAGACCTGAACACTTCTAGAGTGAAATAAACATTTCGCGCTGCCCAGTCTCATTTTAGCCTACAGATGGAATTCGCAACTTCGCGCAGAGTAGGATAGCAGATATCGACCGTACACTTAAGACTGTCTTAATTTATGGGTAGTTGCAATGGCTTACTGTGTTTCATTCAAGATTCGAGACCACTGTCCTGAGCAGTTATCACATCTAATTTCTCCTCAAGTATAAGTTCTTTAGGAATAGATTTCAAACAAACTATTCTTTTTGTAAGCCGTGAAATCTTCCTTAATACAGACTTTGCATTTTCGCATACATAAACCGGTAAATAAACACTTTCTAACCACTTGTTTTCTGTGCCTGTTTACTCTCTAAAACGCTTATGTACGGACTAATTACTCGTCCTCACTAAAACAGATTCTTCAAAACAAAAGAACTCTCTCTTCGAGACACTCCATCGGTAATCGACAGCGGAATGATCTATATTGATTGTTGGATTTAGGTGAGCGGTCTCTGAGTGAAAAATTTCTCTTCATCTGTTTACTAGCGGTATTTACCACGCCCAAGCGGTTATTTGAGCAAAAGTTTTATGTCGAGTTACTGTTGTCGCGTTGTGGTTATGATACCCAGATTCTATTAGTATTTTCAAATCGACCTATTTTCTGTCGATTAATGGTAATTTATTCATTTGGTCTGCTCTTAGCAACAAGTCATACGGCCTTTCATAAAATATGCCGTCAGATCAATTGTAAAGTAAGTAGACATTACAAGACGACATAAAACAACTATCACAATAAAACGGTTGGGCCCATAATAAAAATAGACAGTATATGCAGACAGAGAACTTAGACCCTACATGTGATCTGTATTGTTTATATTGTTAGATGTATAAGTTGTATAAAAATCTGCTTACTTAAATCTTGTTTAAACTCTCTCTCTTATATATATATATATATATATATATATATATATATATATACTATGAATTTCAAACGTATAATTATAATGAAGATTATGAAATACATGATGAACGTACTACGATGTGATGCCCTGTGACTCTTTCCTCTGGAAACTAAAAATATTCTGACTGTCAGTTAATTTACCGGACATTATCAACCATATCAAGACTCGTTTGTACGGACGGTATGCACACTTTGTTTTATATATTGGTATTAGTGGCTGAAAACCACTGGTGTAAGTAATACTGATTACTAGCCAATTATTAATCTAAATTACAGTATCCTGCTCTTTTGTTCAAGACCCAGATGTTCAACAGCTGACAGTTAATCTCTCCAAGCTGATAATGATTGACTTGAATAGTTTCCAAGTATCCATATATTACTGAAAATACCTGATTTCCTTAGTTATAGGCAAAGCCATAACCATAATCTCTTTTCGTCTCTTCATACAATCTCCCCACACTACATGTGAACTGACACCCAAATCGTCGTTTTACATTCAATTTCTCCTCACGTACCTCATGCGCGATGTTATTTAGTGGTCTCGGTATATTCTTTAGGCTAAAGGTTCTTGGCTGGTTCATTGCCTAGTCTACTGATTCACAAATTCGCTAACCAGTCCTAAGCCTGGAGGGTGGGAAAGTTTGGATATGAATGAGGTCAGCAACCCCAACCCAGTAAATCAACTTAATCGCTACAAAACATTCAGCGCATACGAAAGCCAACTAACTTCTGATTTAAGTCAGTAAAAAGAATCTATGTCAGCTGTCATTTGCAATGATGTTCATACTAACATATATAGATTAAATCCTTCATATTAAAAATAACCCAGTTTAAAGCTATCCATCTTCATTCACAAGGAAGTGTAGTTTTATTTTAACGCTGGAGATAGGTCGAGAATTTTGCTCAATTTTCGGCTTTTAATTACTGCTTTGGGAAAGTTTATTACCAATACATAGTAAAACATGTGAATGTATAAATCAGCTAAAATAATTAATTACGTAATCTTAAAAAATGAGTGGTGATTATCTCTCGTAAATAATCACCATCAAAAAATGAAAAATGACAAGGGCCTGAAAACAAAGACATTGTTGAAATAAGTAAGCGATTCAGTGTATTTATAAAGTATAATTTTAGAATAAGAGTTTGAATGGAAAAAATAAGATTCAATCAAAAGTCTGGATGAATAGGGATTACACACAAAGTTATTGTACCAGTAAAAGGAAGGAAAGTTTAATGACTTTGGCGCAATCCGAATCACACTGCTAGTAATTATCCAACAAATTACTTCAAGGTGTTCAAGAACTGAACTATTGTTTGATCTGAGTTCTTCTTCTGACAACAGTATTGGGAGATGCTTCCGTGAGTGTCTAGAAAATGGTATGGCTTATGCACTCAGCTTCACAGTAGCAGGCGGATTGATTTATATGTACGTGGATTTTGCCAAAAGTGGAAAATTAACTTAGCATCCTGATCAATCGGCTGACATCAGTTTTGTTTTTCAATAATAATGATATTTTGCTTTATTCCAAAAACATTAGTTATAATACAGCATGGATTTCTCAGCATTTTTTACAATATTACATCTAATTCACTCAAAATATCAATAAAATAACCACAGGCATTCATTCACATCCACAGTAGGAACAAAGTTAAAATGGTGCAAAGTACAAAATGCGGATAATGACTCTTATAATAATAATAACATTGGGTTTGTTTCAAACGGTATTGTTGATACAGTTAAGAAACTTAGCACGTTATATAGCAGTGAATCTAATTTTCTCTTGATACAGCGTAGTGAAGGCGAAAAAACAGACATTAAAAAGCTTAAATGATGCTTACACTTATGAGAAAATAAACAAAAAAAGTGAAAGAATTATAAATATAAGAAGAATAATGACAGTAAAGCATGATGATATATTGATGAGGAAAAGTGTTTATTTACTAGTGGTAGGAAGGTTAGTTAGTTCCTCCCTGACACTATTTTCATCACGTAAAATGTGTGCTAAATATGATATAGTGGAATTTTTATACTTAGACGTACGTGCATAAAGTCTTTTGAAATGACTTCTTGTTTTACATGAGGAGATGCAAGATGACAGCTGTGAGTAAAGTGGATGCTCACAGCCTGACAATATTCCTCTAGCAAATTTGTTTCATGAAATCAAGTGCCTATCAATGACGATGTCAGCAGTATGGCCCAATGGGTTACCACTCGCCCTACTGACAGTCTTCAAAGGTCTACGAATTATGACATAGTCATTTTTAAGCAATCTAGGGAAGAATTAGGGTGAACCGTAAAGAAGAATAGGTAAGATGCATAAGTTGACAAACTGTAAGAAGAAATGTTAAGTTGTGCGTGAATGCCTTAACTTCCTAATGTAAAAGTTAGACGGAATATCTTCCCACAAATCTCTAAGAAGTGGGAAGACCGGGATGGATCAGAAGACAGAATTTATCCTAAACACTTAATTTCAGAGTTGGTTGCTATATCACCGTCATCAGTTTTGCAAAATTCATGGGAATTAACAGCTTCATTTAACTTTCTCTTACATCTGAAACTGAAATTAATAGTCTGACATCTGAAAGAATATTGTTTAACACAAAGACCATTTGCTGACTCCCGATAAAAAGCTGTTCATTTTAGTATAGTCTAGCTGAGAGTTAACAGGCATTGAAACAGTTAGATCACCCGCATACTTAACAAAGTTTATTTCATCAAAATGAGGCAAGTTACGGAATAAGAAAACAGAAAAGTGGAAAGAACAGTGTCTTGAGGGACGCCAGTCTCAATAAGAAATGAAGTGAACGCAACCGTTTCTGAGTGATGCTCACCACTTATTCTATTTTTACCAGTAAAATGACATTAACAACAACTTTGTTATAATATTATTTTATTCATAAAACAAATCTTTAAATATAGTGAATACCATTAATCATAATTTCACTAGGTCATTAGATAAATTCCTTACTTTGAGATTCAGTCATAAGCAAATTTCCTTAAAACCTTATCTTTCTACTTGGTTATATACAGTATTTTTGCCTATGATTTTTGGCGCTTAAATGTGAATAAATGAAAACGAACATTAATTTCCTGGTTTACTTGCATATATTCCTTTTATAGAAGACTGATGTTAACTGGGATACTGTTACATCTATGATGTATTCGTTGCACAACTGTAGTAATATGATTAAGTTATTCATCTTAATCGAGGATAATTTCACTCCCAAGCCCATCTAAACGATGACAAAACTTGAGAAGTAGTCAGTGGAATATCAAGCTGGAAAAATTCAGAGTTATATTGCCCTCGAGGCTTGATACTTATACGAAAAAGCTTTCTCTATCTTCCTAGACAACATCTCCAGCTAAGCTCAGCTTCAGAATCCAACGCAGAAAAATCAATAACATCAAAAGGAAACCTAAGCAAACTTTACTGAAAGAGTTCATTCAACAGTAACACTAAGGACTAATTACACAACTTGGTAGAGAGAGTTTCAATCTGCGACGGAAAATTGTTCTTATATGGTTGCAAATACACCTCGCCGTCATGTGTCAATAAGCACGAAGCATAGGCTCGGCGATTCCTGCAGACTGTCTCTAACTAACTGACTAATTAACAATTATTAAGTGTCTTTAGGAAGATTATACATTCAAGGGATATAGGTCATGTTGTGTACTTTTGAATTACTACAAAACACATACATATAATAAGTTATTTATATATTAATATATTAATTTTGAATATATAGCTTTTCAATGTTTTGAATTCATTGTTTCCTATTTCGTTTTTCCTTCATTTCAGGGATCAGTAGATCATAGACTTGTTTTATAAACCATAAATGATTTTTTCTCATACTTGAAGTCGATGAAACACTGCGAATCATGTGTTACGCAACTAAAGTAAAGAAGAAGAAAAAGATGAAATACATTATGTCAAAAATTTCACATACTTTACATGCTAAATATGACTGCAAAGTTAATCATTTGAATTTTCTCAATTGTTAAATTCTTTTAGCACAATATAATAAAAGAATTTCAGATTTTTCCGTCGATTGATTGGACCGAAGTGCTCGGTCTCAGGTTGACATGTTGGCTTCTTTTTCAGATGTTTAAACTGACGAGTCCTAAATCGGTCAAAATGCGCATCCTGGATTCATCTCCTAGTCACCATCCACCAACTCTATACTAATTAAATACCCAGACATCGTCGAAGCATCTGCACAAGAAGCCAACATGTCAACTTGAGACCGAGAACTTCGGTCCAATCAATCGACGAGAAAATCTAAAATTCAATTCAATAATTAATATGACTCGTTGCACAAGAGGTGGCTCTCATGGCCCAAGTGGTCTAGTGGATAACGCTTTGTCGTTTGAAACTATGAAGATTGGGTTCGATCCTCGGTGAGAACATCATCACTCACTGCGGAATGCAGGCACATCTAGATGACGAGTCCCAAATAGGACGAAATGCGCATCCTAGATTCCACTGCTAGTCAAAATCCACTAATTAAATTCTGATATAATAAAACTTTGGTAAAAGAAATCTTGTGACATATTTTACTTTGGAAATTTTAGAATACAAATGCTTTCAATTACTTATGCTTTTCATTTTCGGTGCTGAAACACCAAAAGTATTATATGTTCTTTATCAGATCTTTTCTGCGTATGCCTTCATTCAGCACGGTGGCACAATTTGATATTAACTTTATCTTCTTTCAACTTTCTACTGAAATCAAATATAGATATGCTACAAGTGTCAGTGAACATTGAATGGTTTGTTTATTCGGATTGATCTCTATTTGGCAGGAAACAGCTATGGTGATCGCTGATTAATCTTATGCTGGTTGGTAGAGGGCTGGAGAAATATGGTCAGAAATATTGATCTATATTTTCTATAGTTTGGTTTGTAAGGATTAGTTATGTTTTACCAACGTTTATTCACAAACTTTGCAAGCATTGACTTGAAATTGTGTTTCATAATCGGCAGAGCAATAAACAATCGTATTGTTATTCCGTTTCCAGATATTGCACGTTGACTACTGTGCACAGTATTCGGCTTGTTAACGTAGTCTTCTGAAATAATTGATTAGTTTAGGATCATTTTTCAATCTAGACATTAACTTGTCGTACTTTCGCCAGCCTTTCAAAATCAACGTAATAAGAAGTAAGTATAATCATTTTTGACTTATGATCAAACCAATTTTTAAATATTTAGAAAGTGATTGCACTTACCAGCTTATTACTTCATCCATAAACCCTAATAAATGGTTAATAAAACTTCAAGAATCACGTCATAACTCACTGATATACAAAAGTGTTTCGACTTTGTGGTTTGTGCGGGCAGCTGGACACCATCATCAGCGGTGTACCCGGTTTGACGTAACTCACGGAATGAATCGATCAAAAACACCTGAATTCCTCACTAAGGCTTGTTCTGTCTTTGTTCCTATCCCTAGGAGGTTAACTAGATTGTTGCACCACTTAGTGGGATGAATTAATATTAAAATTTTCATCTTGTTTAGACAAATAACAAAATTTTAACTTTAAATATCTACCTAAATAAATGAATGTCGTAAACGTGCAAGCTCTTAAAATAATAATGATAATACTAATGTCTTGTGCACTATTATTTATGTCAGCATACCATTATGATAATTACGTGTAACATACATGCCTCAGTTTTTACACTTCATTAAAGTGATTGCCAAAATTTAGTAGTTTAGAAATTCAGAGGAAACAAGCCAAAAAGTGAATCATATACCACTTGGATTATCAGTTATCTCACTTATTTGTCTACTACTGGAAATATAAATAAAGTACGCGTGTTGTGTCAGTTTGTTAAATTCCTTTTTAGACAAGAAGAAGTTTTAAATTTTGAGACCAACTTAAGTATTTTACGTCAATACGTGTTGTTGGTGACTTACACTTTCATATCACATTTAACTTTTCGTCATAAGATTAATCTTCTTTAGTTTTTCTATGAAAGAAACTATTCGAAAATTTTAAATTAAACATTCCATCTGAAAACATGGCACCATGATAATAATGTAAACAATTATTGTGGAGGGAGATTCAATTATTATCATTATTACAGAAAATTAATTATAAAACATTGGCGACATATAACTAAGTCCTTTGGTTTCAGTACAAACCGCAAATAATTCGGTTACAATTTAAGCGAAAAGAACACATTATGTCAGAACATTGACTGCAAGAAATAGGGATAATATTATATGTCATACTATGCTATATATTATTTAACGATTCATAGGACGTCTGGTTTTTCTTAAGCATAGGAAGTGCTAAAACCTCTGGTATTCGGCAATAAAGTGGTGAAGTTTACAGTTACTACCAATTCAGTTGTAGACAGTGAGATTCTAACACCAGGATAACAGTTTTCTGAATGTCTTCATCTTCCGCTATTCTCGACACTTTTTAAGTGAGCTTCAATGGAAGTAATAATTTACTATATACTCTGTTTTAGTCAACTGAATATGCTTTATTCACCCTAGTGACTCAAAGATTTAGAGGAGCTGATTCAATCAAACGAAAAATTAAAAAAACATAAAATTTACCACATGAATTCAAGCCACTAGGCAAAAGCTTACCTCCAAGAAAATACCTCATATGATTCATTTACACAATACATCAGTTTCCTTCTATACAAAAACACTACTTAAATAAATAGGGTTTAAAAAGCGTAACCAGTTATACATATGCAGTTGTATTTTTCAATATATTAGCAGTCCTCTTAGTCAAACTCCAAAAATAGACAAAAAATTCTCTCATACAATGATTCTCTTTTATAAATTTGAAGAAAGAAAGAAGAAACCTAGACGCAGAATAATCTGGATCCATTTTATTTCGTCGGTTCTCATCATCTGCGTACAACCTGAGTTCTTAAATTAAAATAAAAGGTGTACAGTTTAAACAAACCTTTGTCTCTTAGCAAACACATTGTCAGAGCGTCATAGTATAATAAAGCGTTGCGATTTACAGGGTGTCTAAAGTGTTACGACATATATATATATATATATCTTGTTAGAGAGAAATTTCTTGAAAAAAATTAATTAACAGTTGTGTTGTTGGGGTGGTAACAAAAGAAAATTAGTTATAGTTCCTTATTAGATAAGAGAAGATCAAAATTTCGGTGCACATAAGGTCAGACGAGAAGTTGATGATGTACTACAGTGAGCAGAACTCAGATGATCAAGAAAAATTATCTCTTAAGAGAGTCATGCGAAAAATAAAGGGGGAGGTGGAGTGAGAAGATAAGCTAACAAAATTAGAAAACAAAGAGTAACTAAGGAGTGAGTCACCAGGGTAGTTGAAGTTCAACAACGGATTCTTTTTGGACACATAAGTCAGGCTTCAACTGTTTTATTTCTATAGCTTCAGCAAACCTGAGAAGACTTGAAGTACTTTGTCTGTTAATCATTTTGAATGATTCCAGCACATCTACTCGGTGTCCTGTGTCAGTCAGCTGTCTAGTGGTTGAAGGGCTTAAACAGTTCGGTCCCTTTAACCAGAGGCTCCTTGGTACATGCTCGCAGAATCTGACGTAGGCCATCCTCTCTGTCCTTCCAATGTAACTGCTACCGCAGATCCATGTGAATTGGTATATACAAATGGAGATAACATGTTAGCGGTACTTGTCAATCACTGACTGCACCAGTGAAGAGTTTCTTCGGATAGAGAGACTAATAACACTGCAGGATACGTCCCAGACAGGGCTTCTTACTGACTGTAGCTGTATCAAACTTCTTGAGTTTATTCTCGCCATATTTAATAATGGAACTTTGTGGGTAACCATTTTCTTCCAAGCATTTTTCAAGAAGCATTAGTTCACTGTCTAGTTTGTTTGGTGAACATGTTTGGTGAAAAGCGTTTTCACCAGCGTTCGTTTGTATCTCACTGGACAGAAGCTGTTGAAATTCAAATGAAGACCACTCTATGTGTCTTTATGATAAACAGATCTTTCGAGTGTGCTGTCGTATTTTCTCTCCAACTTTACGTCCAAAAAATGGAATTTTTCATCATCTTCATGCTCTATCATGAAAGTGATACTCTTGTGTAAATTGTTGAAAGAGTCTTATAAAGATGAAGCGTGACTCAAATCATTGCATACAATGAATGTGTCATCAAGGTATCTATAGGAGGCTGTTGTTTCACCGATTGCACACTTGAGCTTTGTCTCTTTCAGACTGGTCATAAAGATATCAGCTATTATCGGGCCCAGTGGACTCTCCATTGTCGCACCATCAACCTGGCGATACACGAGAAGCTGCTTAAATTTCAGTTTTGGTAGAGAAAGAAGATCAGAGTGTTGACAGATGATGTCTTATGTCTCATGCAGAGGGATCTGGGTGAATAGAGAAGTGATATCGAAGGAAACCATGATTTCGTCATGTACACTGAGTTGATTCACCTCTTCAACAAAATGGAACGAGTCTTTTAGAGTATGTTTAGCTAGACGTTGTCTGACAGGTTCTAACCTATCGGTTAACCAGCGAACAACTTTGTGAATGGGTGAATTCACCACTGAGAGTAATGGTTTCATTGGGCAATTCTTTTTATGTATCTTCGGCAGACCGAACATATACAGTAGACGAGACCCACATAAATTTATCTCATAAAAATATCTAGGCAGACAGTGACAGAATTACAAATGAGACAACCCATAAATAATAGTTGACGATAATATACACTTGAATGCATATTTTAACTGAATATTATTCAATAATAATCCTTTTCTTGTAAGTACAACGTTAAATCTCATCTTGAAATGTCAAATGACAGAAGTGCTTTTATTTCTTTCTTCGGGAAACACACTAAGAACAGGTTTTTGTACAAAATCAAAATCTTAATGCTTCTGGTTTAACATAGCAATACAGAGACAATAAACGAAAACTTGCAAGGTGAACAACTTCACTGTTCTTTCCTAAGCTCGAGGGACTCCATTCAAAAAAAGTTCAACCATTTAAAGGTTTGATTCATTTATGAAAAAGCATAAACTAAATAGCATCTAAAAGGCGAATAACATCGGATAGGTACTTTACTATTAGGCTTGGTTTCTTCAACAGTGAGCACTAACAATAATCCGACACACCTAGTTGAAAATGCAAAGTTACAAGTCATTCACTACATAAGGATCCTACGCTTCATGAATTGTAATCGGTGACTTTCTGTAACACCGTCTTTCCCTTTTGTTACTCTCTTAATGTCTGTTTGCTCGACTGGAAAGCCAAGCTAGCTACGGTCACCGACTTTAACTTTGCCAAAGCCTATCTCATCTCTAGTCGCTGATGATATCGAGTCACATCCTGTCGCTAAATAACATCAGCGTTATACTTCTTTTCAACAGTTCTAGGACTTATCTCTCAAAAGACTATAGTTTAGATTATCAAATAAATAGTAATAATAATAATTCGATGATTTATACCCACCTGTTATATTCATCGCCAATAATACAATGCCATGCTGTACCATATTTCTTATCCAATGTTCGTTTAATAAATGATGTAGTATCCAAACTTCTTTGACATATTTTCCAAAACTTTAGACAAATATTGATTATTTCATCTTGCATTTGTTGACTCATGTCTGTATGATAAACAGTCGCTTTTTTCTCAGATGATTTTAACGGATCAGAATTCATTTCACCAGCTAATCTCTTTGTGTATAGGCAGAAATGATTATAAAGTAAAATATGAAAGTTATTCAAGTAAGTACCCTAATATCTGCTACTATTGTACTCATTGGCATGTTTGTTTATTTAAAAAAAAATTTTAAAATGCTTCACAGAAATTCTGGTAAGTATATTTGCCAAAATATTTAAAGTTTCTGTTATTTAGTATGTTCATTTTGTTAAGCCTTCATGAGATCATTAAAGGTTTGTTTATCCATGAAATGAGAAATAGAGAATGTTGAAAGATACATTTTTATGAAGTATTGACCCTTTACTTATCAATAGAATAACAGGTATGCACTTAAAACACCACAGTGTATACGGGTTCACTGTAGTGAGAAATATGTGTGCTTCGAATAAAGAGTTAAGAAGTTTGATCATAACAACAATAATAATAATAATAAAAATACTAAAACGATTGTGGCACATCTGAAAGACGATACTCTCTCAGGTTATTTCATTTCAATTTATGTGATAATTTAGATTTTAAAGTAGCATTTCAAGAAAAAGAGATTTAAGATAAATATGCCATAGAAAATTGAAAAGTCTACTAAATTGACAATCAAGACGATTTTTGGTCAATTATGATATAGATATCTTGGTGTTAAAATTTGACCTTCTCGTAAATGATACCATTAATAACAATAATTTTGCCAGCAATTATACACCTAATCTAACAGTTGTACGACAACGCTGCATGCCAAGCAATCCACGACGGGAAACTCACGGAACCCTTCGAAGTGAATACGGGAGTATGACAAGCCAATGATATTTGTCTGATTTCCCACAAACTGGAAGATATGTAAGTGGAAAGCAACTAGTTGGCAGAAGAAGCATACAGAAAAGATAGGACTTCAGGTGAGCATAGAGAAAGCAGAGGTGATGAAAATTCCTGACAAGGAGCAACAGCCTCAACAACAATAACTGACAACATTCAACATAAACGGGAGAAATCTGAGAGAAGCAACCTCATTTACCAACCTACTTGGGAAGCATCGTTTCAACTACAGGCGGATGGAATTGATGAGGATATCAAAGGGAGGACAGAAAAAGGAAGGCAAACTTTCATAATTCTCAAGTCTGTGTGGAGATCAAGCGCACTTAACATGAAAAATAAGATCTAGATTTTCGAATCTAGTGTGAAGTCAGTGCTACTATACAGATCAGAAACTTGGCACATCATGAAATGCATTTCAAACAAACTACAGACCTTCATCAACAGTTGTCTTTGCTCAATACTCAAGATCAGATGGCCACAAAAGATCAGAAACAGGGATCTTTGGGAGAAAACCAACCCAGAAGGAACCAATTGTGCAATAAATGTGCAAGAAGGAATGGAGGTGGATTGGTGGCCATACTCTGACAAAAGAAACCATCAAGTGGCATCACACGCCAGGCTGTCGCTCGAGTGGAACCCGAATGGGAAGCAGCGAGGTGGTCGTCAGTGCGAGAGTGATATGTAGGAGGTCATTTGTGGAGGAGATGAAAGCATTTAGGCAGACGTGGAGCTGGGTGAAAACGTTGGCGGAGAACCGAACACAATGGCGACGTGTGGCTGAAGTCTCTAGTTCCTCTAGAAACTAAAGGAAACAATAATACGCACTAATAATAAATAAAAAATTAGTCTGAAAAAGAAACGTTTACATAATAAGTTATGCTCCGTATACTTGTTAATGTAAAGATAAATATTTACTCCTACTATAGGTAACCACATGATATTCTGTAATGACACAGTGAAGTGGTGACAATCTTCTTATTTGTATATAAAATGTTCTCCACAAGGTGCCGTCAGTATCTATTACTTCATCATAATAACGTGAATCTATGTTGTCTTCTAGATGCATTAACGAACTTTAGAAACAACCATAATAAAGTGTGTGTATATTTTTTCCAACAAGACATAGCTTTACAACTACTAATGAGGTATTTAAATATAAGATTTGTGGTCTCCTTCCAGCAAATTTTCAAATTATCTCCTAAATAGAAGACGTCCGTTGTCAAGTCCCTGTGAAACGTAAGGTGGCTGCTTGATATATCTTCTTCAGACATTTAGAAAGGCGGTTTCTAATAATTTCTGCTTTGATGTTACCTTTGAATTCCAGGTTAATGAAGAGAGATTTTTAGGAACATTTGTGTTTTTTGGCTACGGTGACTTTTCTTTCATGCTTTTGTTGATGAATCTTGATGGACGCGTATTCTGTAGTAGGGTTTCACATGACGAATTTGATTCTTTCTCCACCATGTCTTCCAAACGAGTTTTTCCAATCTTTAAACTTAATGTACGCACTAGGTTTTGGTTTCTAATCAGTGGGACGAAGCTCTGGAAGTTGATTAACTATTCCGTCCATGTTGGCTTGTGATATATTGATCTTTGGATCGTCCAATCTTGTCTTTTGCTAAGTAGTACATCCAGGAGTGGAAAAGCTATGTTCAATTCACATTCTAAGGTGAATTTATTGTCTTCTCACCAGTCCCTATCTGCTCTATGCAATCATATTGATTAGTCACTTTCTCACACCTATTAAATCATGCCAGCTTCCACTTCCTTTCTAACTTCCAATTTGTCAACCCTTCTGGGTCACACTTTACATTATGTAATAGATTTCTTGAGGATAGATTTTATCATTATCTGATTGGTCTTATGATTTCTTAGTTAAATATAATTACGGCTGTACAGCTTTTGAAAACGAACCGTTGCAAAGAAAATTTTCTTCGCTATTTACGTCTTCTTCTCATGACTCAGTGTGGGAATATTTCGTTCGTATTTGTTTGTGACGAGTTTCAAATCAGGAAGAAAGATTTACGAACGTAGACTTAATTATTACTTTCACTTCAGCTGACAGGAATCACTGAAATATTCTTTTTTTTAATTCAAATAAGCTAACAAAGTGTAGATGAATAATATTCGTATTAATATTTTTAACAAAAGGTCATTCCTGTCAACTCAGCATAACGAATTTTTGTAAAGACTAGAGATTTTGTGGCTCAGTAATTGTAAAACGGATAAAGATTTTAAAAGATTGCTATTTCATGACTCTGCAAATTATGACACGGCTTATCAGCTTAATTTTCTACGCACATGAATGTGCGTTGGTGGCACAGTCATTAGTACTCTCGCCGACAATGCACATGGTCCGAGGTTCGAACCCTTGCTGACGCACACTTGATATCTATGGCCGGCCTGCGAAATTTGGGCTACCGATATCACATGTTGAAAATTCTATGCTTGTAACAAAAATACAGTGTGGAATCAAGCTGTAATAAAAAAAATTAATGTCAATATCATACTAAAGGGTTTTTGTGTATATCAGAACATGGGTTCGATGGTAAAAAATATAAGTATTTAGCGCCAAATATAAATTGTTACGAAGTATTATAGTAAACTGCATGTCGTGGTAACGGAATAATTCTTTGAAAGATGCCTTTTGAACGACATAATTACAATATCGTTACTAATTTGGATGTTTCAGCTAACTTCGTACTTTCTTCTTTTTTTATTCTAGGCTTTATATCATTGTTCTCAAGTTTGTTTATAACATGATGACCTATTCCTTATTAATTGTCGTTATTCCTGTTTAACCTCTAATGTTAACACCTTTTCATGTGGTTGTGTAGTAATATCGATAGTGTTTTGTTTTACGATGTGATTTTGTTTGAGTGAGTCAAGGTCATTCAGACATTGGACTGTATTTGAGAATATTTCGGTGTGTGATTCTTGCTGACCAAGTTTTGATCCCATCTTGTTGGGAACATTCTTCTCGATTCTCGAGTACTTCTTACGATAGGTTCGTTCAGATATGTTTATTGTATTGTACTCATTTTGTACTGGAGAATTCTATTCAGTATGTTATTCATGTTAGCTAGCGCTACAAATCCTATTGAAAAATAACTGTATTTTTGCTGTCATTGGGGCATTTTGTGACTGTGAACGATGCAGGCAGGTTTTGGTCACCTCTGTAGTAGAAAACAAAGCTCGACTTCCTGCGCTGAGACCGCAACACGTCGGTTCGGATTTCTACAGTTGCTGAACTATTCAAAACCACGGAATTATGAATGGACTGGGATTTTAAAACAATTCTAATGCGCATGATTAACCAAGACTTATACCATTAGCTATGATGAATCACATACGTGGTAGTGACGTAAGTAATAATAAAAATTAATACACATCGAACCCTGAGTTGGTTAACAGAGTACGCTTGGAATATTTCAATAATATTTACACTATAGCGGACCAACAGTTGAACAGCTGTATACAAAAATACTTAACTCTTATTCATTCATTAACAAGAATAAAGACTGTTGATAACATTTATAATTAACATAGTCAAGTACTTGGTAACAATGTCTACAGACAACATGATCCACCAGTTTTTCTATGCAGTGTGTTCGCTTTAGTGTTAGATGTTTATAACGGTTATTCATAGCCTACAGAGTGTTTTCTTGTTACGTCTAATTCTTAAACAACTTCACCTCATTTGTGAGATGATAATTTATCATAATCCATTCTGAAAATCACTCACTTTAGGCTCTCTATAGGCTTCGGAAAGTAATCCACGTCACAGAACACAACCACATTGGAAAAATGTCAGTCTGCAAGTTAACTTTATGATTCCTTTGCACGTTTTCATTTGGTTAGAAATTCCTCATCAAACGAATCAATAAATTTTGCATCAACAAAGCAAACAATGCAAACCTCACGTCATAATTTCACATATTTGGTCTTCAGAGTGGTTGTCATTAGTTGACTGCAAAATCATTTTGCACGCCAAAAATCTTTTTCTCTTAAACATTCCAGTGTCTCGAATATCTTGGTGTAATTATTATTTTAAGTGGTATCAAAATTAGACGTTGGTATCTTGTTGTTTATTTCACATTTCTCCATCGTATCTGTTTTTATTAAAGTTTGTAATTTAATGCTGTGAGATAAATTTACTTCAATGGCGTAAAAGGCTTACCTGAATACATTAGATTTTTTAGTACCATATTAAGTTGGTCGTTGCAAGGCTAGAATTTATGAGACAAGTTCTTTTTTAAAAGTTCTGACTATGGGCCACAGTTAAGCCAACTCACACTAGTGGG